TAATGTTTTCCTGGGATCCTTGGATTCATGTGGATGTTGATCTTAAACGTACCACATACCTAAACATTAGTGCAAACCAAGCTCGTGTCTGAATTGCAAAAGTACTCTCTGACGACATTCGAGTTTTTCATAGGGGCAATGAGTCGTGGAACGCTGTAAAAAGTGCTTGGGAATGGTTTTAAGGAGCATGACGAGGCTTCCAAGATGTTAACTTTGCCTTCAGATTCCACAGATGTCAGTTCATTTAGACATCTGTGGGATGTGCTGGAAAAAAACTAGTCAGATCTGTGAATCTGCTGCTGATGAATTAGTGAATCTACACCTCGATGGGTCACAGCTGTTTAGGCTCTTTGATGGGGACTTGCTCTATAATATGCATGGGGTTTTAATGTTGTGCCTATTTTTTGTATATGCTGTTAAACTAAGCCATTAAAAGCAATAAATAATATTTTCAAAGAGTGAAAGCATTTCTTAATAATTGTTTATTATTAATTGATTTAGGAGGCCATTTCTTTTTTTAGGATCATGGTGAAAACCTGCATCATAAGTTCATCGTCAAGTCATTTACCACTCTGGAAAATTATGAAAAATGATCAGCATACCTACTCAGTATGCATGAACTTCATTTATTCCTGACACATGGCAGCAGAAACTGAACACAAACTTCCAGCCTTCAGCAGTTATCAGCATCAAAGCACAAATGAGTTGCTGCTCTCTTTCCTGACTCTAGGTGTGTGTGTGTGTGTGTTTTATTTCCTGCAGGAATGGGCAGAAGAGCTTTTCAACCTGGCGTCCAACCTCTTGGTGCAGAACATGTCCAGAGAGGCGTGCCTCGAAAAAGCGTACGTCACCGGATGCATGCACACACGCACACGCAAGCAGTCTCGAACAAAATGTAAATCTACAGTCCCCAAGATAGATATGAAAATTGGGTCTGCAAGCACTAGAAATGTCACTCATAGCAATAGTCACATTAGGGACCTGATGTATTTTACATGAACAAAAATGGTCAAATGTTATGTAAAAATCTTGCGAAACCATCATGTAGCATTTACACCTTCACCAAAGCACATTTGTGCTTACATTGTTCACACGCTGCAGTCTACAACGCAGCCTGAGCCGCATTTTTCACACATCAACGGAGGAAGTAAGACCAGACGAAAGCAGAATTATCAAAACAGCTGGAAATATGTTTATACCAGTTTATAAAACACCCTGTATGCGTTAGTCGTCTTTTATTGCTTCCCATATGTGAGTGTGCGTTTGTTTGGTGCTGTAGTGTATGCTTTGTCTTACAGTAGTGACATATAGTAGATTCCAGGCTGACTCGGTGAGCTGAGCTTTTGGTTGAATTGGGAAAAGAGAGGAAGAGAGGGCGAAAAACAGGAAGCCAGTATTTTGTCAGTTCCAGGGTATTACATAAAGCACTGATTATCCTTATCAGTGGCTCTATGTCCATGACCGCTTTCATCATCCTTTGCCCTCGTGTCACCTCTGATTCCGAGTGAAGCTCACGCAGAGTGAGCGTAAATATGAACGCAAATCATTTTTTGCTGGACTCTGCTCGCCGACAACTCCCAGCTGTCTGCTGTTTATCAGTGAACAGAAGCCATTAACGTGCACCCCCGAGGAGCTAATTGACTTATGAGACAATAAAACTGGTCATCGACCACATAGTGCAGATAGAGTGGAATAGAACTGAATACGGCAGATCTCGCGGTCACGTCGGTCGCTCGCAGCAGCAGTTCTTGTACACTCCTTGCTTACAAATAAGGCAATTCTTTGCCATACCGCTGCTGCAGCGCGAGGATGCTGCCTCCCTGAAGTGATGTTGATGTTTCTCCGCGTGTGGTTAATTCTCATCGCTGTCTCTTAAAGCAGTGATACTGATTTTGGGTGGTGGGTTTTCTGAGGAGCGGCGTAGCTGGGCAGCGTTCTCATCAACAGGAAACTAAACAGAACCCAGCAGGTTTTGTAAATGACCACTTGCTGAAAGGTGTTGAAATCAGAACAATTATAATTGAATACCCTCCTTGGATAACACAGCCCTCAATTACCAAACATGGCAGGGTTAGAACTGCGTGTTTTACTCTGTGTTGCTCTGTCTGGAAACTTGGAGTTGAGCAGTTAGCGTCATCTAACTGCTTATGTCTTTGGCGTCATCTAATGAAGAAATGAGTAAATGAGTAACGTCTAGGATTAGCTAGAGTGGGTACGTGAAGAAGAACAGAGAAAGTAGTGAGGTAAACAGAAAAGGAGACAGTGCGTAATCTGTTTCCCCCTTTCTCCAGTGTCATAATGAATAATACAAGCATCTCTGAGTCAGATGGGGGCATTGAAAAAC